TATATAATGTGTAACCGTTTCATTTTATAAATTATATAATTATATACAATATAATATATATATATATATTATATAACCCGTCTTTTTTTTTTATGCTTTATTCCTTTTAGAATTATGTACGCCCTAAAATAAAAGAAATAAAGACTAAAAATTTCTTTGACCCCGACTTTGCAACGTTGTGATCGGCTTTTCAAATAATTCTAAACTCAACATGGGTAACTTACATAAATGAATACCTATATAAATTTCGTTGGTTTAATATCTACTTAAACAGTGAAATTGTGCAATTGTCACTTTTTGCTGAAAAAAAAATTTCATGACGATATTTTCGGTGATACCGGTGATACCTCGGCTCATATTTTATACTAGTTTACTCTTGAAATGTTACAGGTTTATTTGTTATAAAAATAGGTTTTATATTATTTTATATTATTTTTATATTATCATTGATTGATAAATTATTATTCAATAAATAGCGGTTAATGTTAGTTATGTGAAACTGTGATTTTTTATCTAATAAAATATACTTGTATTGTATCTTATCATATTGTATTCTTTGTGTATGTTGTACTATGCATCATTCCACTCCTTTTTTGTGCTTAAAATTTCCCTTCAATTTTCTGCTTATAACTCCCCTCATCCAAACTTTTGTTCATCCTCCCCTTTTTCTTTTTTTTTCGCCACCGCTTTTCTCAGAATTTCAGAACAATTTTTTGTCTATTCTTCGTGTAGCAACCTTAGACTTGAGCGTCAGATCAAGCCAAAAAAGACAAATACTAAAAAGTAATACTTTCCACGCTGGAGAAAATAAAAGTTTTCCATTTCCTATTACTCAATACACTTTACACACCTTACGGTAAAAAGTCTCTTCTATTAAAAAAACGTCCTATAATACCTTCTATAATTAGCATCTCAGTTCCACCTATTTTTTACCTTTATTTACTGACTGACTTTACTTGGATTCCTGACCTAATAACGTTATTATCAACCATATCGCAGTGCCAGAGAATCTATACTTTCTCCTCTTAATTATACACTTTACCTTTCGAAATCAGGTTTTTATTTATTTATTTTTTTTATTTATTTATTTTAAAATAATAATATAAATAATTTTTTGTTTTTGAAGTTTATTTTTTTTTTTTAAATTAAAAAAAAAAAAGTTTAATAAACTAATTTTTTTTCTTCTTTTCTTTACGATGCTATTTTTTTTTTTTTTTTTTTTTTCTAGTCCACCCTGCTTCCGTTAAATCGACATAAAAAGCATTGGCTATCATAAAGAGACAATTTTTTAATTTTTCATTTCAATATAAAAAAAAAAAAAAATTCTTTTTAATTAAATAAGGACAATGGATAACACTGTAACATCTATATTCTCTGCTCCAGTGGTACAGAGCAGGCTCGAACACCACCACTTACAACAACAAAAACAATTATTAAAGTCACATAAACCGGAAGCAAGACATCAAAGATCAAAATCAATAAATAAAGGGAAACGTGGTTCTCCTCACAATCAATTAAAGGAGAGCTCTGTGCCTATGGTCTCTGTTTCGGCCAGTGATTGCTCTAATACTTCTCATCATATTACAAAATCATCTAATTTTAATCGTGTTGATAATTTCGATTCTTTGCGTGGAGATTCTAAATTCCCTGATTCCTCTTTTACGAATAATTTTAATAATAATTATTCTACTGCTATTGATGATTCTCATTTGTCGGCTTTTGGTTCCACTGATACCAATAGGCCTGTTCAACGAAGGTCAAGTGAAAAACGTCCATCAAGAAAATATCAACAAAATGATTCAACCGGTGAAGATAATAATAATAAATTAAGAAATGGCTCTCAAGTCACGATCCTCAAGAGACCTCAATCTGCTACCGATTTTGTAAAATCTTCTAATAACAATAATAATTCTACTTCTAATAAAATGTTCCTTGATGTCACTCATGAGGAACAAGATTATCAACTTTCTTCTGCGGTTGGTGATTATTCTAAAGAGCGCAGACGTTCTGATGCCTCCTCTTCTAAACCTAGATGTTCTCAAAGGCGTAAAGATGTAAAATCGATGTCTGGGATTTTACAAGTTATTGAATCTTGCAATTATCAACAACAACGGGATTCTAATAAAGAATCTGATGTAAATAGTACTTTATTAAATCCAAGTTTAAAGTCTTCTTTTTCGCCAAAAATCGACCCCGTTTGTTTACCTGTACCTCCTCAGCAAACGAACAACGCCTTTCATTTTCCACCTCTCAACTATTCTGTCGCGATTATTGCCCTTGAAGAAGAAATGTGTAGTAAACATGATGATAGTGAACCATCTACTTCTGACAATAACGCCCATGCTAAAAGGTAAATATTACTTATATGCTATTAAATAATAAATATTAAATAATATTAAATATTAAATATTATTTATTACATTATTAATAATAAATAATTAATTTTTTAGTAATTTTGATAGATCTGCGAACAAATGCTATAAAAGACGTTCTGATATTTATCTTTCTATCAATACCAATACCTCATTTATTCCGGAAAATGCTCCTCGTCGTCAATCCAGTACAGCTGTTGAATTGCAAAGCCAGGTTGCTCCTTTTGCAAGTCAAGATGCTGTTAATTGTTCCATGTTATCAACTACTCCTCCGGCCTCTCGTAGGCCGTCTACTTCTCCGGATAGACTCATGGCGGCATCAAAACTTTACGCCGGTCCTACATTCCATAATTCCCCTGCTCCTAGTGATTTACCTTTACCATCTTTCCTTAGTAAACCTTCTAGTAAGGAATCTAGTCCTTTAATGACTTCCAATACTATCGCTCCCGCTTTAACCCCTTCCAGGGTTTCATCGCCGTCCTTATCTTCTGGTAATTCTTCTGACGACGATATGTTTATTATGGATGACGTCGAATCTGATGCCATCAAACATTCCGATCGATTTTATAACGTGAAAAAACAAGAGTCTAATGAACTTCTCCGCATCTTATCGGAACGTCAATATAATTCTCCTTCCGCATACATGGTCCCTGCACGTATGGCCACCTCTCATAATCCTGCTCAAGTTTATCCTACCAAAGATGGATTGTCGTTGACCGAAATTTCGGAAGGTTTGAG